AGAACAAGTGACCTCAGCCGCTCCTCATACGGCTTCCCCTCAAGGCCCTTCACCATCTTCATTTACATCCTTTGGACACTCTTAAATAGCTTAATGTCTTATGTTGCAGTGCCCAAAACTGCACACAATATTCAAGGTGAGGCCACACCAGTGCAGAGCAGAGTAGAACAATCCCCTCCCTTGACCAGCTGGTGATGCTTTGCCTGATGCCCCCCGGACACAGTTGGCTCTCCTGGCTGCCAGAGCACTGCTGACTCATATTCAACTTGCTGTCAACAAGGACCCCCAGGTTCCTTTCTGTGGCACAACTTTCCAGTTTCTCATCCCTCAGTCTGTACATACATCTGGGGTTGCCCCATCCCAGGTGCAGAATTCAGCACTTTCCCTTGTTGAACTTCCTGTGGTTGGTGATTGCCCAGCCCTCTAATCATTCAGGTACACAATAAGACTCAAAGGCCCTGGGGAAGTCAAAAGGTGCACAGCTTTATTCAGAATGTTTGAAATCTCCTGTAAGTACTGCATCGCATAACTCATTCCAAAGAGGTTAATTTTGTGAACAGGGCCCAGATGATGCTCCTCTTCCTCTGCCCTCCCTCTCCATTCTCATGATTCCACACACAAAATTTAACCTCTCTCCCACAGCATACCTCTTCAGCTTGTGAGCATCACCATTCTCATTTCTCATATCTCCACTAATTTCCAGTTTTTTTAAGAACTGAAGACCACCACACCTAAATAAGAAGGAACAGTCATTTCAGTATTCTCATAACAAAAGCAGCCCTGAAAGAAAAAGAGCTCTCTTCTTCATAAAGAGCATTTTTAACACTTAGTTGTAACATCATGGAAAACAAGAAGGGTGGATCCTGCCCAGCTAGTGCCTCAACCATTCGTAGCACTGTTGAAGGCCAGTGGTGACAACTGTCCCGAACTAATTTGTTCCATCATGTTAGTTTCAACATAGTTTCAACAGTTAACATTATTTAACTGTATTACTGATGTGATTGTTAGGACACAAGAGCAAACCAAGAATTGTTTAGAGCTTCACGGTTTGGTTTCACACCTCCCCTTGGAAAGAGTCACCCAAAAATGTTCTGCAGAGTTCAGCCCATTACTTGTCTTGTAGACAGCTAAATGCAAATAGGCAAGAGACAAATGTAAACATAGGCAAAACCACATCAGACTTGGAAACCATTTCTTTGGATTGGTCAGTTTGTGGCTGCATGCCCACAGAACAGGGAAAATGTCTCAGCATTACCATATTCAAGAGTGACGCAATATTTTAAACCTTTTGGCCCTTGCAATACAACTTCTAAATACTGTTTATAATGGGCACTTGGTAATCAGCAGCTATCATCATCAGATGTACACACAGCCTGTAAAAACCCTATAGGCTGGCAGAGAAAGCTGAAGAAGACTTCAGACAACACAGAAGGAAAAAGGGAATGAATTATGGGAAAAACATAGGAAAGATCAAGTCACTATAACACTTCCCTCAAAGGCAATATAATGCAAAAATGGAAAAGCACCTAAGCACTCTGGTAGGCACAAAGAGGCAGCCAGCTCCAGCAAAGGGACAGTGATAACTAATGACAGCAGTAATATGTTTTCACAACCCTTTTTTACTTCAGAAAAAATAGTCTCATATCCTCACTTTGAAAAAAATGGTTCACTACACTACTTGCTGTTTATACGGGATACAAAACGGCAAGGTACCTACATGGATGGCTAGGAGATCTCAAAATAACTGTAAATGGATTTGTATCCTACAAATGTAGTACTGAAAGGAGAGTTCATACAGGAATGGCTTGGCAAGTTGCCATATTGGAGTAGGGGAGATTAGCCCATAACTTAAGGCCAGTTTTGCATGCAATAGGAAGTTTAATCATCTTAACAGGCTTTCTTACAGCTAATTGTAGCACTGATAAGAGAAACAGATTTGATTGATCATTAGTGTATCTATGTTTAGAGGTAACTCCTTTGCTTTCAAAGAGAAGAACTGGCTGGATGGCTAGGCCCAGAGAGTGGTGGTGAACGGGGCTGCATCCAGTTGACAGCCGATCACCCAGGGATCAGTGTTGGGCCCAGTTCTATTCAATATCTTTACTGATGATCTGGATGAGAGGATTGAGTGCACCATTAGCAAATTTGCAGATGACACCAAGTTGGGAGGGAGTGTTGATCAGTTGGAAGGCAGGAGGGCTCTTCAGAGGGACCTGGACAAGCTGGAGAGATGGGCTGATTCCAAGGGCATGAGGTTCAACAAGGCCAAGTGCCGGGTTCTGCACTTTGGCCACAACAACCCCCTGCAGCGCTACAGGCTGGAGAGCAGCCAGGCAGAAAGGGATCTGGGGGTGCTGATTGACAGGAAGCTGAACATGAGCCAGCAGTGTGCCCAGGTGGCCAAGGCCAGTGGCATCCTGGCCTGGATCAGGAACGGTGTGGCCAGCAGGATGAGGGAAGTGATCCTTCCCCTGTACTCTGTGTTGGTGAGGCCACCCCCGGAGTGCTGTGTCCAGTTCTGGGCCCCTCAGTTCAGGAAGGACATTGAGGTGCTGGAGCGGGTCCAGAGAAGAGCAACCAGGCTGGTGAAGGGACTTGAACACAAGTCCTGTGAGGAGAGGCTGAGGGAGCTGGGGTTGTTAGTCTGGAGGAGGCTCAGGGGTGACCTCATCACTCTCTACAACTACCTGAAAGGAGGTTGTAGCCAGGTGGAGGTTGGTCTCTTCTCGCAGGCAACCAGCAGTAGGACAAGAGGGCACGGGCTTAAGCTCTGCCAGGGGAGGTTTAGGTTGGATATTAGGAAGAAATTTCTTACAGAGAGAGTAATCAGACATTGGAATGGGCTGCCCAGGAAGGTGGTGGATCCACCGTTCCTGGAGATTTTTAAGATGAGACTGGTTGTGGCACTTAGTGCCATGGTCTAGTAACCACGGTGGTGCTGATTCAAGGATTGGACTTGATGATCACAGAGGTCTTTTCCAACACGGTTGATTCTATGAAACTTATTACTGATTCCACTGATTACGGTTCTACAATCACAACACTCCCAGTATTTTGCATTGTTTGAAAGCTCATTAACATCTGCATATTGTCCGTCATGGTGAAATCAGGACTATCTCATAGTGAGGTTGCACATTGTCATGGAAAGCAGCTACATCTGTCTTTCTATAAAATCTCCATTTTTAGACAGCAGATCATACTGCAACAGTTTTCATTTAGAAGTTGCTTCATTATTTACTTACCAGGGTAGGAACTAAAGGGAGCTTTCCTGGTCATGTTTTTTTTTTTCCTCTCCATCTATCCTGCCACCAAACACTGAGTTTTTTGGTCACCTTACTTATTAGTCAAAAATATATTACTCAAAACCAGAATGCAGAAGATGTTTTTGTTGAAGGTTTAAAAAAAAAACCAAACAAAACCCCAAACAGTAAATGCCAAACATGAAGTAATTGTTTCTGTGCGTTACCTCCAACTGACATAAATAATCACACATTGCTAAAACCCCTTTGGTGAGTACTGAGATGTGCCTGAAATCTGCCAAACCAGCACTTAAATGAAATCACAATTCACCTGAGAAGCTTATTCTGTCAGTCATTATTTTCTGTATTCTCAAACTTCTCCAATCAGGGCATGGATATATCAGAGATACAGGCTTCTGAAGAATGGACTTATCTCTTTTTTTCTTTCCCTTCTAAGTAAAACTAAATATTGTTATTGATTCACACTGTACATTACTCAAAGCATAATCTAGTCAAATCCCATTGTGTGTGCACACACACGCTCTCCAGCCTCAATTCTAAGGTATAAAACGGGGTATTATTTTTTTACATTATTTACTTGCTATGTCTGTTTCTAAGCTATTAAATTAGAACTCAGTGTTCTCAAATGATGGAAGTGATGATACAATCCTACAAACTGAAGTCTTTCTGTTCTGGTACAGGAGCACATATCAATCCATGGCAGTAAGCTAAAAGGTTCAAGAAACAGTGATGCTACATACTGAGTATTAACTGCTTAACGACAAAGACTAACTGGTATACTTTTATGAATTCTTTTTAGAAACTGGCGACCAGGTCTGTGATCTACAGACTGTAGTCTGTGGATTAACTTCAGTTTTTCCATTTAGTTTATGAGCTCCAGCAGCTGAGTTTGATGTAGCTGGAAAGAAAAAAGAACAAGGAAAAGAAACAAAAAAAATAAACAAATGAGAAAAAAAGAGAAGAACGAGAAAAAAGAACACAATGAGAAGAGCTCCTCACCTATCCCTTCTTCCTGTTCAAAACCACAAGACTGCATTATCCCTAACATTAAAGTGGATTTGGCTGAGTTGTAACATCAGGTTTTTAATTTGTATGAAACCACGTTTAATGCTGAGCCCAATTTCTCATATATGGTTTTCATGTATTCTATAATTTTCTCTATTAACCCCTCACCTTATTAGTCACTCAATTCATTTGTCTGCTTTATTTCTCTGGTAGAGCTGCATTTTCAAATCATCAATTAAAAGCTCAAGTATCAATAGTTAATAGTCCATGTAATGATTACACCTGGCAATAATAAAATTCTTCAAGTTAGCAACTTATCAAATGAACAGTGAGAATTACTCTATTAGCTGTAACCAATAATAAAACATTTGCAAAACCCAGAGGAAAATACATTTCAATTTAGAATAATCCATCCTAAAACCTGACCACTGAGCTTTCAAATTAGAGTCTCACAGATTTCTACTTTTTCATTTTTCTTCATGGAATAATTAGTTTTGCTTTGTTTTCTGGTGCATATCTCATTCTTTAACTTACACAAAGCTTAGTATTATATTCAGAGATACACATTTTTGTTGTGGGGCCAAATGGGACCTTAAATATATACACGGTTTATATAAAGAAATCTTGACCCCCATAGCATGATGTCAAGGACAATACTGCTGTAGATAAAAAGCAAGCTGGTATCAGCATATTTTTCTTTAAAACATTATAGCAACTCTTAAAAGTGGTTCTTACGATGGAAGATGCTGGAGCTTGAAAGTAATACTTGTATTTACTTCTTTTTGTTCTGTTCTTGAGCTGCAACGTTTTATTTCATATGCACTGTTCAGACTAATCCCAGCACAGAATGGAAAAAACATGTTAGTTGCTTCATTTTCAGATAGTTTTAATCAGGTAATTACAAGAAAAAACATTTAAACAGTTTTTATGGTGTTATCTGCTATGTCAACTTACAAGGATATGATGTAACAAACCAGTTACAAACTTAAAGACATATTTACATTATATACTTAAAGTAACAAGCTATATTCATAAAGGAAACACCTATGGGATGAGTTAACTAAATTATACATCATTTAGTAGAAACAAATAGCAGTTGAGGTTTAATGGAAACAATATACACATGAGGCACTTTGAGGTCATTAAGGTGGAAAGCAAATGGCACCAAGCAAAAGAAGGAAAACCACGTACAGCTTTTACTGCAGCTTTGAACATAAAGGCTGCTTCTTCACCAAATGCTTTGATTTCTTTAGCGAACCACAACTTTTGCAGTTAAGAGAGAGAAACCTTCAGGGAAGAAAAACCCCAGAACAAAACCCAAACAAGCCCCCTAAACCCTCTTTATTTTCATCAGTGAACCAAAGGAAATAGAAGTTTTATTCACCCAGCTGCTGGACTAACAGTACCATAAGGCATCTTTTTAAAGTTCTTGTTTTCGTTGCCAGCCTTGAGCCTGGTCTTCACTTTACTAATAAGAATGTATAGCTGTACTGGCTTCACACTGTGCCATAAGCTCAGAGAAGATTTAAAGTCTCATTTAAACCTGGGCATTATTTACATGGAAGTTCAACATTATCCTCCAGGTACACATGGACAGATCATTCTGAAGAGAACTCATCCAAAATGGGAATGTTACATTCCAACAAAAACAATTAAGGCATTCTTTAAAACACCTTTCCTTCTCTAGAGGAAACTGCATTGGTTAAGACTGTTTGGAACATCCCTTCCTTAAGTTCTGGAAGAGTTTTATGCCAACATTTGCTGCTGTTTACTAAAAAGTTACCATAATAATTGTAGAATACTATCAAAAATTGCTTTAACCGTGCACACAACTGTAGATATACCTTTCACAGCTACTGAAATGCATATGAGTGCACACACACCACCTGTGCATACTCAAAAATTGACTTCTATCACAAACCAAAAGGCCAGATTCCCTCCACATGAACATCAAAGCTTCATCGCTTTGCTGTGGGAAGAACTTCAAGAGGGGAAATAAATAAGATTAAAAAAATATTTCTTATAAACTCAGTGACAGAATCAAAAGAATTTTAATTTCATTCCTGATTTTTATGCTTCTGTGTAACAGGCCATTGTAACTATTTTAAACCTATCAAAATATATGGTTAAAGGATTTTTACTTCACTGTTCATAATGGAATCTAAGAAGCATGGTGAGATAAGGAATCACAGCAAGATTCCAAATTACAGTCCTGTAAATTCATAACTAAAGCATAACATATTTGTGTAGCTTAATCGTGCACCAATGGCCAGTTAAATGACGATGTAATCCAATACCGCGCCTGAATGCCACTTTTCCCCCAGTAGATGGTGCACGAGTGCTGCTGTCATTTAACTTCTTCCCTCACTTTCAAAGGGAAATACTTAATTTTCACGGTAACCGACGCTTTCAACAAGCGAGGGACTTAATATTCAGTGACGGTTTCCAAAGACTCCGGTCCCCTCCAAGCAACACAAAGCTCTGCTACTACGTGGCTGACGAACTACAGCTCTGACATTAAAAGCAAGGGGAAGAGTACAGATTGGGGAAGAAATTCCTCTCTTCCCAAATGTTTAATGTTTCAGAAGAGATAGGATAAATGTAACATGCCACCAAAACCAAAAGATACGCGGATGCAGCAGCCTGTTCTGGAATGGGTTTGCCACAAGTCCACCTTCCACTACCCCTCTTCCAAATACAGCAGTGGGTAAGATTCCTAACACCAGAAGAAAAAGTACATGTGCAGGCTACTAAAACCAACCCTTTTGTAATCTTGTAGCTTTGCATTCAGTTAGTTGCTCTCAAAGAAGGCATGCAGGCTGACACCTCCAGTACAAGAAGAACAAGTGACCATACGTCCGTTCAGTAACCCTTTTTTAGATGAAGCAAAGAGAAAAGCAAAAGGTGAAAACATTTTAGCAGCAAAGTGGTTAAACACAAGGTGAAAATATTAATGCACACATTCAATAAAAATATTAAAGCATATATGTTTCATATAAAATACAGTACAGGACCAGGAGTTTCACTGTGTTGTATAGTGCTCAGAGGAAACTGTTAAACTAATTTCTTTCTGAAGTATATACATAATATGATTATATAGTGTTTTTCTATACAGCCAGCAAGTTCTTTTCTTAGGTTGTTCATACCTCTTCACCTTGAACGAGGAACCTAGCATTTGGAAATTATAAATTTCTCTCATTCACTAGGAAAACACCACCTTTTTTTTAATGAAAGTTGTTTTTAAAGTTAACAGTCTATTCTAGGCAACCAAGTTTAGCTGAAAATGTGTGAAGCATGAAAACCAACCAGAGTAGCAGCTTTCAAATACATAAACAGTAAAAAGCAAGACTGCTGCTACTGTATCACATTCTTGGACTTGAGCCATCCAATCAACTCTTAATACAAAACTAGATGCTCTTTTGTAACTTCTATAGTTATCAAGATATTTGTCTTCTTTTTCAATGTGAAATAATACTTTCAGATGATCTATATACACAAGGTGGCCAATTCAAGCTGTAATATAAATATAAATGTTTTCTTTCAAAAAGTATTTTACAGAGAGATAAAGTTATTTACATTTGATCATTTTTACTTCTGGGCTACAAAGGAAAATAAAAGGGACTGATATAGGCAGAAAAATATTACACAAAATATACTGAAAAAAATGCATAGAAGTGAGAAAAGTAAGTCATGTGCATCTTTTAAAATGAATCAATTAGGTTGTTTGTTTAATAACCAAGGTATACTGAGGAGAGTCTGTCCCATTCAAGCCAAGATGTCAAATGGGCACCTTCACTGATAAATTATGACTGGTTTTAGTGTTGTACGTCTTTAACAAGAAGTAACGTTTGTTACTTCATAACAGAGCAAAACATGTAATGTTTTAAAAAGTTCTCTATGGGTTAGTTAATTCTTACCTGAAAGTTAAAGACTAAGTAAGTACAAACCCATAAGAAATAACATATACAATATATCGCCGTACATACACACACGTACACATGCTCTCTCACTCTCCCCCACCACTCCCCCACCGCCACCTTGAAAGTTCCCCAATTAAGAAGTTCATTCAGTTTTGCCTGGGCTGTAATTTATTTCTCAAGCTAAGTCTTTTGTTGTTGTTTTTTGAACAAAACACACAGTATTTTTGTTCTTGTCCGTTCAAATTAGAAAAAGTTGTGGTTCAAAATAATGAAAACGATTTCACTTTTGTTATTAATCTTTTGTTTTAATCATAGTACTTGATAAACAGCTGAACAGGATCCTAGTTTAACAGAAGGATAAACAAGAACACTGATGACAATTTGTTACAACTGCCTTAATGTACCTTTTGCTTAATGAACATATGAATATGCAAGAAAATATTTTTGGAGGACATCCCAAAAGAAAACAACTTGCTGGTTGAACAACAGAAACAACGTCCTTTTTGCTATTATGTTGAAATCAAAGTCATTTATATATAAAAATAAATGTTATGTTCTAACAAGAACATTTTAGACAATTACATCTGTGCTTAACAAAAAATATTGGTCACTTGAGACTAGAATAATTAATATTTTAAAGGTTTTAGATTATCAGAATGTATGGATACAATTCAACACAAACTGTAGCTGAAGGGAACCAGGACTGAAAATATCAATTCATCCATCTGGAATAAAAATGCAACTAAATTAACTAATTAAATATTTAAAATACTACCATGGAATGTGACAGTAGATATGGTCCATACCTACTATATCGGAGGGAAGGAAAGTTTAACATGTAATAATTCGTACCTTACACATTTAGTTAAATATAAACATTTGTTATTTATACATAAAGTCGCTTCCAAAAAACTATTAATAAGTGATTTAGTTGCACTTAAAATCAGTTTTATTTCTCATTTGCCAAGTATTAACTTTTCTTAATCTTAATCAACTGTCACTAGTGCACTTTTAGTTAAAATTTCCCGTCAGGTAAGTTTTAATCCTTTTAAAAGAGCCCCCTCACCTAAACCATGAATGTACAAAGTGGCAAAAGTTAATCTCTTTTAGTATAATCATAGTTTATATACTCATTTTATAGCCAATAATAAGAACAGGCTTTCCTTTGCAAGATCTCCTTCACAACTTGCAACAAATGCCACGCACTCAAAGGAAATAGTTAGGCGTGGCTACCACTTGTAAAATGCCAAGGTCTGACAAGTCTTGTTGCTTCCTCCACATCAAGCATCTCTTATGTGAAAGAAGATTCCCTTCAGCTTGCCAAAAAGCTTCCACAAATCCAAGTTAGATGCTTCCTGGAAACAAAGATTTTTCAGCTCTGTTTGGCACAAGACTGATTCATCCCGCAGCTTTATGCTTTCCTCCACAGCACCCACACACCTCACCACAGTGATGGCATGCTCTCAAGGGGAGGTAGCAGCACATACATGGAGCAATGAACGAGAGTGCCACCAGTGCTAACCAGCGTAAGCAGAACTTGTCATCACTAGTGTCACACGAGCAAGGATCAGAGAAATCTCCTTCAGAGTCTGACATGCAGTGATACAGCATGCTCTCTGCGCAAAGCATGCAACTAACTTGGTAGATACATCTTTTAATAGGATCTGGTGCATCTTGACATTTTCCTCTGCCATTATCTTCATGATTAAACCTTTCCTGGCAGTATATACAGCGGGAACGCTCACCATCCTCTTTTCTTCTTTTTGAGTTTTTAAATTTTGATGAGGAAGGCTGAGTTTTAAATACCACAGAGCTCTTTGAGTCTTTCAGGGAATTCAACTTAGTTCCATCCCCACATGGGTATAAATAGTCAGATTTTTTACTGTCTGATTTAGAAAATGGTATATTTGAGTCTGCATCATCCCTCTCCAGGTCGTTCTTCCACATGTCAGGATGCCTGTAGTCTGCATAACGACGTATCAAAATGTCACGAGGGTTTATCCTAACAATTTCATCTTCGTCCTGAAAACTAACGTGTCTGATTGACTTCAGTGGGACCTGAAATGGCAAAGTAAGAGAAGTTTACTACAGTGAAGTCCCAAATTTACATCCACCTACTTCAATTCATTAGTTTAGGACACCAGCAAACACCTAAGTACTTCTTAAATTCTCAGCTTGTAATGAACTGACTATAATTCAAGACTTTAAAAGGCAGGTAAGAAGGATCATGATAAACAGGTACAAAACAAACCGTAGAGAAATAAGACAGAGTACTTGTTCTACCTTACAACGAGAGGGCATGGGGGCATGAAGAAGTTGTCATCACTATTCAAAATTCATAGATTCATAGAAATTCATAGAATCATCCGAACTGAAATACTGAAGACCTTAGTAAGTGCAAGATAGCGGACTGCCACTAAGTGTTACTGAAACCACATTACAAGTGACTTCCAAGAAAAGGTGCAAATAATGACAGGACAAAAATTTAGCATGTGTATGATGGTAGCTCCTGAAAATAGCAGACAGTGCAGCAAAAAAGCAAAGGTCTCAGTACATCCTAGTACTCCTATCTTACAGACAGGCAATTATTTTCCTACACTGCAGGGCTATTATATTCACAGGCAGATTAAAAGTGGGCTTCAAATCAAATTCCACCTTTTCCTCCTCTCAAGTGCACAGCCTGTAAACCATCTCCCAGAAAGGACCAAAAAAATCACCACTCCCTAACCTATCAGCCTTACAAAGTCTCCAGAATCATGAATTATTTGGGAATGCATCTTTGGCACCAGTATGGTTGCTTTGGGAGTGTTTACCTTATTAGTACTCAAATTACTGAGAATTAATATATCACCATTCCAAAATCGAGGACAACAGTTGAACTGCATGTTCCTAATCTGTTCCAGTGTGGGACAGAAAACTACTGAAAATGATGTTAAGTTAAAACACTTCTATTTTACTTTGCATGTGTCTATGCTCCTACTACACTGAAGTATGCTAGTCCTGGTTTTGGGGTACAAGACAGAGGAGGGAGGAGGGAAGGCAGCTGGGAAAGAGGAAGAAAGAACTTCTTAAAATATGCCATCTTCTGATTACGTAAGAATTATCTGTAGCCTGCTCTAACCATCACTTCCCTGCTCAACAATCCTTGTGTGATAAGTACAGAACTGTAATTAGAGCTGCTTTGCCCTGAGACTTTCAACTGGAATATGCTAACAAGAATAATTTTTTTTTCCCTTGGCTCTAAGCCACATAGTTGGACTTCCACAAGGTCTCAAGGATACAAGAAGAAGAAAGGTTATATATCCTGTGTAGCTAACATTGCTCCTCTTCAATACTTCCCCCGGCTCCTATACAAGCAGTCAGGCTTCCCCTTTGCTTATAAAAGCAGAGTGTTTCTCAACTCTACTCTGTTTTCAAACAAGAGGAAGAGTATTGTTTAGCTATGGCTAATTGGCTTTCTTTAGCACTTTAGAGCATAAATTTATTTAAGAGAAAAAGTAGAGAAAATGTCATTAGAATCGCATATGTTACAGGCACAAAGGATCCTTACCCCACTGTCCACATAGAATATTACGCATACATTTAAGACATTAAAAAACCCCAATGTTTAAAGGAAAAAACCCCTAAAACCCCAAACAGAAAAACCCACTCTCAACCTCCCATTCCCCAGACAGCTAATAGCCATTAAAGATCACTACAAATGCTAACAACTGTAAAATCTGACCTCTCCTCAGCCTTTGAAGGCTTTTTTTTGTTTGAGCAGAACACATCATATACATAGAACTCATTTAATTTTTTCAAGTCCCCGGCCCAACACCTAAAACTACTTAAGGACTGACATGTTACAAACAAGGCACCACAACACATCCTTCATATAACTGATGTTGAGAAGTATTTTTTTAAGAAATAAAGTGGGAAATGCTAAAAACAAGCAGACCGGAGAAATGTTGGAAAAGCTTTACTTAAATGAAGTGCTTACTTGTTGGGTGTTTAATGGGACCTACGTGAACATATGAAAACTTAAAAACAATACACAATTCAAATTCAGTTAAGTACAAATACCAGCAAAATTCAATGAGAATAACACACACAGTCCTCTAAACATTCAAAATTAAAACTCAGTATAAATGCCATCTCTGTGCAACAGCTGAAGGAGGAAGGGAGGAGGAATATTACAGCAAACTGAAATTCTAAAAAGATTATGATTATGAACATGATTAGCCAGATCGAAATTAGAGAGAAAACTTGTTGACACACCTGACCCACAAGTATTGCACCTTACTTGAAGGGATGCACCTCTAAACAAGACATGGTCACTTGCTTGGTACTGCAGCCTTTGCTGTTTCTGCTCAAACAGATACACCTGACTTTGCTGAGCTTACAACTTCACAATATGAGGACACCAGCAGCAAAACACTAAATTTAAGTTAAACACGCATCCATGTATCAGAAGCCGAAAAGTTGAGGGACTTAAGTATTTTCTACTAACAGCCAAAGTACCACAAAATGTCACTAATCACCTTAGTTTGAGCACACACTTCTCAAGCTATTCAACTTATAAGCATAGTAGGAGCATTAAAATTTATTTACACAAAACTGAAACAAAATAGGTAATTAGCTCAAGATCTGCTGTGCCACCTGATCACATGCATGGAGTTTAGCTGAGACAGTGCAGTGTGTGCACATACAGAATGTGAGCTTTTGTTGACTTGCCTATGTTCTAAATGTGTGTACCACATTACCATGCAAAAAGCATGGAATATCAGTTGCAGATAGTGACACTATACGATAAGAGTATTCTAAAAAAATATCTACTTAAATTTTCATGCAATCTCCCATAACTTCAGTTTTCAATTGGAGCATTGTAATTTCAGAAAAATTACTCTTTAATTTCTATCAGAGAGACACAAACTACCCAGTATACCACATCTTAAATTATCATTTAATCAGTAGCCAGTTTTTTACATGCTCTCAAAACAGGTATTTTAAGCTACTGCACTTTTCTTTACAACTCAGTGAAGACTAACAGCATATGCATCATTGGTTACCGTAGCTATTAAATGTTAGCTGCAATAACCTAATCACCTATCCATTCTATTCTAAAAAATATTTACAATTCCATTTGCAAGTAAATGGGAAGAGGGAAAAGTATGTACCTCTTGATGAACAGAACAAAAATATGAGGTGACTTATACAAAGAGATAATCAGAGTGGATCAATGATTAAAATAGAAGTTCACAATTTTAAGCTCTTTACTTAGTTCTCCAGATGATATTGCTCACTTCTTTTGCCCAATAAAACAGCTTAAGAGCAGCTGATGCAAGACTTTAATACAATCCTATCTTTCTCTGCAAAAATGACTGAGGGTACTAAAAGGTTCTATTTCAAGGAACAGAAATATTTTCTGACAAGTCTTCAAAACTACTTGAACTTGCAGTCATCTTTCACTGCTGTTATTCAGCATATTCTAAAAGCTTCCCATGTGTTTGCTTCTTGACATAAAAGCTTCCCATGCTTCTAGACATAAGACCCTCAAATTAATTACTATCCAACTTACTGTTAAGTCTACTTCTACAGGTAACAAAAACTGTCAAATTCTCTGAGCTTTAGAAAAAAGCAAAATGTATAGTGTTAAAGGAAAAGCTGTACCAATGGCTGAATACTTTTTATACATAACTGATATATTATTTTCCTTGTGAACCAAAATAGAGTATTTTAGTTTAAATAGGCAGTTAGAAAAGATAAGCAATGTTTCACTAAAAAGATTTAGCAGAAGTTCACTACTTTGCAGTGCATCCAAGAAATCAATTTTAAAGACACTTTTAGGTATTTCTAATCAAAACATTATTAGTATACATATAATCAAGATTGAGCTCATGGCCAAATAACATTTTCCGAAAATTTTTAAATAGCTTCTCAAGGCTGCAGATACTGAAGTCTGTAATACAAAAACTGAATTCAAAGAAAATAAAGATTTATTAATGTAGTCTGGTGCAACACAAACACAGCTAAACACCTTCACAAAGCTTTATCTCTGCCATAATAATGCTATAATATTTCAGCTGCAAAGCCTTTATTGGTAATTTCAAGAAGTTGAGAGTATAATGCTACACACAGGGACTTAGAACAAAGTGATTTCTTGTCAGAAACTACCTACTGTTCCATTAATACAGCAAGCAAATAAGAACTACTGCTTTTATTGGTATTCTTACCTGGTTAGGTTGGTTAGGAAAACAGGCTCTCCTGGTGTTGCAATCCTCAAACGTTGAAGACCTTAAATTCGCACTGTTGTAGGTTTCGCTGGTTACTACAGTTTCGTGTTGAAAAAGGTGATCTTTCATTAATGAACCTGATGTATTTTCTTGAGCAGTCTAGAACACATAAGAACTCCCTTGAAATGATTTTGCATTTATACAAAAAACACACCAAACCCACCAAGTTCACACATAAATGTGTTAATATTCTATATAATGTGATGGAGGCATTTAAAAATAGAAGTATTTTTAAAGCACTTAGAAGTAGGCAAGTATTTTCTTTACCATGAGTCAGCCTTGGAAAATACAGTTTCTTTTCTGCAGAAGGTATACAACTTGGGCACTTCAGATACACACCATCCAACCTCAGTTGCCAAATCAGACTTCTTTAAAGGAGAGATTAGCCCAGTCTCTCAGATTATGTTTTCTCAAACTACCCATGAGGCTGCCAGTATTTATAAAAATACAACTGGAGAAAAAAAATTTCTGAGACTAATAAGGCAAAAGCTAGTAAGACCTTTTATTAATTAAAAGCAAGATCAGCTGGAAAGGATCAGAAAGTCAGATTTAACATATATTAATTAACAATATCTAATTACAGCAAGTGTGTATTAAACAACTAATGACTGACTTTTAAATAAATTAAGGTTATATCAGGCAATTTGATACAAAAGTGAGACCACGTGGCAACATATAATGAGATATCTGCAGGACCTGTGCCATTCAGAATAAAGAAAACGAAGTATGTTTGGGTGGAATACTGGCTTGTGAGGTGGTGCAATTTCTGAAATGAATAGAAAACCAAACAGCCCTCATTCTTTAACCTTAACTGACTGGTGTATAGTTAGGATACAGCAGAGCATTTTGATACTAATCCCACTGGGCTGCCAAAAATGTACTGTAGGATGTTTTGTTTGTATTGAGAGATGCTGTAAAGTTAACCAACCAGCTGTCATCATCTGATAGCACTGAGAAAATTCTGGTATCATCCAACTTCCAGCAATGAGAATGTTTCAGCTTTATTACAAGGATCTGTATATATCAAGAAAACATTAAGAGGAAAAGAATAAAAATACTGCAGAAAACTACTGAGGCAGAGGCAAACCTCAGTTTTTGACAAAACCAAAAGTTTTGTCAGGTTCATTTATCAAAATATTTAAGGAACTTATTCTGGGATTACATTAGCACCTCATATAGGTAAAAGCCCAGTGTATGAAGTTCTAAGACTATTTAGAGAAACTGGAAGTAGCTGGTCTGTAGGTGATTTTTAGGAGAAAGGAAATCATCACATCACTAAGAATCTATGTATTGCTCAAAAGCACTGAGTGGAAGAACATTAAATTTATTAATTAATTAATGATCATATAAATTAATACTAGAAAGCATACAGCCCAAGAAAGATAACAGCTCACTCAATCAGGTTAAAGTTCCCATGAAAAATTGTGAAGACAGGCAAAACTTTTTGCAGATCCTTGAGCGTGACAACACCAATAAGCAATTGACCTTGTTATTGTCAAAATTCGATATTCTGGTCAAACACTCTTGGGAAATGAGTATAAAAGAAATGTTGAAATGACCGGCAATTAGACTTCATAGGTGTACATTTATTTTAAGAGCAAAAAGCATCAGATATTAGTGCAATATTAAATATCTTCCTAGCAGGAGGCACTCCTGCAGGTATATTGCCCAGTGACATAAAAAGCTTCTAAAACAGTGGTTCAAACCACAAAAGAGCTGTGTTCAAAACGAGGAAGAAATGCCTACAACTATTTTTGGTTTGAGCAATGTTAAAAATGATAACAAACATTTAAGCTAACAGCTAGAAGCCATTTTACAGAAACCACAGCGATAAGTACCCTGTTTCCCTCTTGCTCCCCTCCCCCTGCTATTATAAATATGAAAGGTCTAGGGAGATGGGAGTAAGCTGCAAAAGCTACTACTCCTTCCTTCCAAGGGAAAAAAGACATAATACCCGTAAGCCAGTCCTTATCCCTGGGTGAGATTTGCAACTGCCTGCATTATTTCCTGTCCCTGAAGGTGATTCACATCTTCTTTCTTCAGCAGTAAACTACATACACTATAGAGCAAAAAGGACACACGTACAGGCAGACACACGCACTCAGCCCTTGGCAGTCAAGAAAGGCTCCATCTAATGAAGGACACAGGCAACGATCATCTATTACAGTGCTAACTAGCAGCGCCAGAAAATGATGTATGAAAAACAAACTGTACTCTTGAAGCAAACTTTTGTGCCCTATACACAGCAATTATCAAAGAATGCTTTTAGAAAATTCCAAAACAGACATCACAAGTCAAGCTAATTGACTTCAAGGACAAATTTCGGGGCGGCAGGAGACAGAGAAAGGCACCTGGCCTTTTGCAAGGCAGGAACTCATAAGACAACCTTTCCAATAGCACAATACTCAGCTTACCAATCTAGATACTACGAGTAAGTGGACACAGCCAAACTTCTGATATTTATGAAAACCAAAAAGCCATCAGGTCAATTATGATCTTTTTTGACCAATAAATATTCACTATGCAGAACAACAGAAATGCCAGATGAACATCCTGAAGTCTGTGTTTTTAATTAAACTATACTTTAGATACAATCAAACCACGTTTATTCGTATCCAGAAAGCTTTTCCTTGAACAACACTTCCTACTCCAATCTGATGTTTTATGACAAGGTCATAAACACCTGAAAACCCACATTTATAATGGAAACACTGACAATCTGAAGTAGGAGGCCCTAGAAACAAAAATGCTTTTGTGTTGAAAATGCATTTTAGTAAAAAGCAAACATATAAGGTTTTCCACAAGAACTAAGCTTGTTATATTAAATATACAGAATATCACACACAAACACAGATGCACATGTTCCCCTTTTCTACTGTCCAAAGCAATTACACCGCCCACATTCGATATCCTTTAACCACAGCCTGCAAAGTACAGTACTGGCATAGGTTATTCAGTATCATCTGTAAAGTAACCTACGCCAGTTTTTAATGCACAACGGAAATCTGGTTTGCTCCCAGCTGCTGGTATAATAATTACTGTCCTATGGTTGCTAAGAGATACTCTGAATTTTTTTCCAAGACTACTAAAACATTTCTGTGAGCACAGGCAAAAGGATGCTGGGTAAAGCAATAAAATGACTCCAGCTGTAGCTCTCCAGCAGAATTCAAAGCCAGATGACAGCTGTAGAGAAAATGAAAACCAGACTGAGCTTCTCTTCTTCAAATTTTCTCTCCTTACTTCTCCCAGTTTGCCAGAGTTAAGTCTGGGAGAGGATTCAACATTGTTCTGCAAACATTGTTAAAAATGTTCTGCTTTAAGTAAGTTTAATGATTACACAGAAGGATGGACGAGAGACCACATTTCTGTTGCATCCCAGTTCTTGCATTTCCTTCCCATGAGGCCTGAAAATCTGCTGTTTGATGCTAACCAACACAAGAATGTTTAAATGTTTTTTTCCTTAATTTTTCAATTGTGAATAAATGATACAGGTTTCAAAAACACCTGAATAACTTCCTTCTGCTTTAGCTATTTCTAAGACTGATGGAGCAATATATTTGGCAAAGAAACTATTATTTTCAGGTATGTGTTTCTGATATGGGGTGAAATATGAACTAGATTACTCAGAATATTTTGTACAGCATGAAGTAAATAAGACATTTGACATGCCTCTTTCTTTGAAGGTTGTTCTACTTGAATATACACAGCACACTAAATGCAAAGAGGTTGTTAGGGTGAGGAAAAAAAATATAATTACTCCTGTTTCTAGAATATAATTCCAACAAAAAAAGCTTAATAAACCCAAATATTTTAGCATAGCATATGATTAGATTTATTTTAAATTGATAATATGAATTAGTATTACTTTTAGTTTTAGGAACTGGGCCTAGTAGATTTATTAATTGTACTAAATATTGCTAATCTTTAATGCTTTACCACGTAGTACTGTCTTCTCCATAAAAATAAGGGTAAATTATTTCACATTTTCTTACAAGTCATAATGTTATTTTTGTATTATGTATTATTTTTGTAAAATAAAACTTCTCAAACACTTTGTTACAGACAAAATAAATTGAGTAGTCACTAAATAATGCACTTATGAAGAGGTCACTAAATAGTGTATTTACAGAGAGGCACATGAACTGTTACTGTCCTTCCTGACTGCACCAAAACCACTTACGATGTAAGTTGCAGGCCCTTTCCAGCTCTGTATTAACAAAAAGCCCAACGTACTTACTTCTGAAAGAACAAGCCAAACTTTTTCTTCTGCTTATAATTTATCAGTCTACAGTTTTCTTCTGCCAGTAGTAAGAAACTCAAAAGCATAAATGATCCATTTCTTACTACTTCAAAACTGTTAAAATGTGCTGATAGCCTATAAATAACACCAGTATGGCTGAATCAACAAAACCTGAAAGAAATTAAGACTGCTCTATTTTTCAGTTCTCAAAAGCAAGACTTACGCACTTCAGGATCCAAAACCCACATAAAAATAATTTAAAATGCATGAGTTCTAGATTTCATTTAGTTAGATTTACTTTTAAGAAAAAAAATCCGATTTTTATGTTTTGTTTGGGTTTTTTTCAGTTAAGCAAGATGAGTTTTAGAGCAAGAAGTTTATATTTGGTAGAGGAAAAGAATATAAGCCAATCTTTTAACAAGCAAACTGACTTAAACAAGCTGCTCATCTATTACATTCAAAATGCATCATTTTATACCAAAATCATCTAAACTTCCTACCCAAACAAATTTCCAGTGTATATTCCCATGTAAGTATATATACAGTTGCAGGCTCAATTTACCAACATTGCAGGAAGTCAGATAGCTCTTCATTAACTTATTTGTGTATTTCTATTTGAGATTAATCAGTTAAGACTAAAGGTTTATTTGATGATATAAGCAATTCGCATCTAATAGGTTAACTAACAACTAGTAATAATCGTAATAATTTAAGTAATCTTTAGAAGCAAGTATGAATTTTTATTGTATTCTTTTATTGTATGCTTTTAATACTGAGACTAGCCTTATTTGTGAACTCAGAACAGCTAAAGAAACTATAATGAAGCTATGTCTTCTTAAAATGATAAATTTCATCTTCAGTAAAAAGAATGCTTTCTCTGTTTGATTTACAAAATGTAAATAAAAACCAAAATATCTAGTAACCCAAGATACAACATAGGAAGCCAAATGCTAGCCTAGAAAGCACAAGATATAAGTTCAGTTTCTGGATCTGCACTTACAAGATGCACATCTAACTTTTGGACAATCGCTGTTTCTGCTTGCTATTTCTATAAAATGTAATAATAATTATTACTAGGAGGCACTGAGGTTGGACAACACCACCACTGAGAAGATCAGTTTTGATCTTATTTGGATTATTTTATTTGCTCTCTGTAGCACCAAATATAACCAGCCAGTAAAATAACTTATGAAGCATGTTTAGCTTCTTTCATCACTGGTCATCTTTGTTGGAAAAAAATCAAAAACACTGTTAATGAAATTTATGTACAAACTACATACTATATCCATACTTTAAATACATACTAAATACAGGATTCCTGTTGACTAAAGCTGTACAGGCAAAACCGCTCTTATACTCTTATTCACACTCTAAAATGCCCTTGCATAGGTATACTCCAAAATTTACTCAAAAATATTATTAGAGACTTGGGAAAAGAGCTTATAAAACAGTGAAACAAAAAATCATTAGGCTTTTTAAACTACATAGAGGCAGAAAGCGGTGGGGGGAAAGTCAACATGACTCTTCAAATACACAATGCATTATCTTTAATGAAAAATGGTCTTATCCACCAGTTAAAAAAACCCAGGGTATCAAGTCTCATTTACAACAGTATCAATCTGGGAAGGGAAAGGAATTAATAACATGAAGGAGAATGCACACTCTTTGGTATTTCAAAGGTATTCTTGGTAACTAGACCTGGTGCCTGTAACTAAAATGCAGCTTTTCTACACTGACATTCATAACCCTGCAATTACAGCTTTGTTACTGATACATAAACCTAGTTTCGATGACGCACAGCTAAAGCAGGGTACGTTCAGTCTTCCCTGCACCTTTTTTTCCTCCCTTCTGATATTATTATTGACAGGCAATCATTTATTTTACTTTGATATGTAGAGATAAGGTAAGAGATACTGGCTAGCTTTTTGCCTTTAGAAAGCAAGCAATTCTTGCCACCTATCCATGGCACAAATCCCCAAACGCAATGTGTACAATTACATTTTATATCTATAATGTAAAAAACATGGTTCTACCACGTAAAAGACAGTTTGTACCACGTAAGATTGTTCGTACCTGTAATGTATATATATAGTGTACATATATATACATACAAATCTGTTTTATAAAGAATATTTTTAAAATATATGTGCTTTTTAAAAACATATATATTTATAATAAATATAAATAATAAATATATATAAAGTAAACCAATATTTAGCTATGTAAATAGATGATGCATTTATATTCACATGTATATGGAATAGTTGTTGTAAATACACTTTTCTCCACTTTTTCAATAACAAACTTTGTAACTCTATGGAATCACAGATATTTGCTTCAATTTTGGCACCCTTATAAAGAAATACAATAACTAGACAGCAAAATCAAGAGGCAATTTGTTTGTTCTAATCTCATTAGGCCTGAAGAAATTGTTCAATTATTAATCCTTGCAACAAAGTATGTTTAAGCAAATCTTTTAAGAGCTGATTAAGGACTGAATTAACTGGCACACATCCTCCATCCTGTAAAAACCTCATTCGTTTTTTAAAATCTGAAATATCTAATATTTATAGCAATTTTACTTTCAAGTGTCTTAAAATAAAGCACTGCAAATAAAGAACAACAGGTGGTTGCACAGCCAACACTCACAAAAAGAAATAAATTTTTTCTATCTTAAAATGGAAAGAAATCAGGAGACTTCTGCATTGCCACTGCATTGCAGTATCCTTTCTAAACACTTGACTCTCAGTCATAATTTCATTCTTACCCATATATTCTAAGTCTGCTGCTAATTTTTTTGATTTTGTGTTGCAGAGGTTCTACACTCAATCTGTCTACACTGATGAAGAATTTATGCTGGCATATATGGCAAAACTATTTCCCTCAAGAAACCACTTAGGAAAACTATCAATTTTCTGAGTAGCCACTAAGACCCCTGAATCAACTTGTTTATTTATCACCCTCGTATTAATTTAAATATTTGCACTCTGAAAACTGAGTATGTGTGTGAATAAAGGCAAGGCTTTCCCTAAAACTGTAAATAAGACGGAAGAGATAACAAGCATATATAGACAGGAGGAGGATTTACTCACTTTTATTACAGTTATTTACTCTGTGTGTGTGTATATACATATAACTACCTCTATTTCTAGATATAGATATTTGTAATATTTGTTTATACTGGTTTATACTGTTTATACTGGTTTATACTGTTTATACATGAATTCTTGGCTATTACCAGGCAGTGCTACACATCAATGTTGCAGTACTTACAGTATGTGATATGGTATTTGTGTAAAGCACTATAACTCTGAAGCACGGTTGGACATAAATTTTTACCTCTTAAGCCATTATGACCTATAGAAATGGAATAGTGCAAATAAAGATCCATAAAAACCTGAATCTCAACAAGTGACTATCTTCAGTGCGCTTTTAAAAATTGTCTGAACTTCTGCCCTTGTTTGGACTAGATTCTTTTATCTCAGCATCTTTTTAACTCTAACCATACAATGAAGTGTCTTATCACTGCAGAGTGATATCTAAGAAAACAAATAGGATATGCAAGTAAAAAGAATCTTGATTCCTCTCTTTTGTTCTTTCCAAAAGAATATTTCAAGTTCCAAAAAATTTAAAGAGGACATAACATGAACAGACATTTTGAATTTAAAAATTAAACTCAGGATGGTTAATCATCCTATCGATTAAATCACAGAATCATAGAATCAGATGGGTTGGAAAGGACCTCTGAGATCATCAAGTCCAACCCTTGATCCACTACCACCACAGTTACTAGACCCTGGAACTCAGTGCCACATCCAGTCTCTTCTTAAACACCTCCAGGGACGGAGAATCCACCACCTCTCTGGGCAGCCCATTCCAGTGTCTGATTACCCTCTCTGTAAAGAATTTCTTCCTAATATCTAACCTAAACCTTCCCTGGCAGAGCTTGAGACCATGCCCTCTTGCCTTACTGATAGCTGCCTGGGAAAAGGGACCAACATCCACCTGGCTACAACCTCCTTTCAGGTAGTTGTAGAGAGTGATGAGGTCTCCTCTGAGCCTTCTCCAGGATAGTGCCTACTTCGTTTAGGACAGACAATACCGTAAGCCTTCTAGATAATTATTCAGGAATTTATTTCATTAAACTGAATTTTGCTATTGCTCTTATTTTACTTCTTCTCACTAATGGGAACAAAATCTGTTCAGTATTTTTCTAAAAAATAAAAAAAAAAATCACAATTCATTTAAAAATTTACTCACTTGAAAGCAGTCCTCTGCCACTTCAACATCATTTTGGGAGGATGGATAACCTACACAAAAAGAAGAAAAAACGCAAAGTAGACAAGGTTATTTTCTTTTTATTTACAGCTTACTGCTTCCAATAGTCCACACATCTTTCAATATCCAGCTATGATGATATAAAATTCTTGTTTACTTTTTCAAACCTATTAACCACTGTATTTCAAGTTGATTTAAGTAAGCATCTTACTTATTTCATTTCTACATTCTGTATGTTATATACTGAGTATTCCTACCCACACTGATCTCTCACTGTTCACACGTTTCTTGTGAAAGCATTTTCAAAGTGTCATCAGCAGTCAGAAGCAAGGGAGTATGTTCCTTTTAATGTAGCATTTTGAAAATTAAAGGCAGATATATTTGGTTGGCATGAATGCACACTGTGCTGCATTTTGCTATAAAATCAGCAGAAATTGGAACTGTAAGACCCTAAGAGAGAATTACTCTCATGTTCTCTAATTATCTTGAAGGGATATGTATGGTATCAACACAATTCAAAAGAAGTCATTCTACTATGTCAAAAAGTATTTCCCTTCAGAAGTATGTTTCTCCCTTTCTTAACAGGACAACACGTTAAATCCCTAACATTACTTTTTACAAGCCTGAAAGAGATGTTCTTTCAATTCAAGATACCTGTTTTCTTCCCTCCCTCTCTCAGTACAGTAATACATTTATCATATTTTCAGCTCAGAATGTAGGCTTGGTGATGATATCAGTGAAGCTCTGGAACCAGTTAGCCATATTACTATTTGAGCAAATTCTTCTATTGTTCCATAAATACCTGTCCTCAGAACTACACTGTCAGCTGTTAGTAAACAAACAAAACTATTAACTGAAAGTATGTGCAGATAAAGAGAGAACTCAACAGGTTGCAAACATAGCTTATCCTCTAAGAACACAGCAGATGTCAAAAGCTTTTGAGAATAAGATCCAAGTGAGACAATATAACAATTTAGCTTCCTCCACTTCTTCATATCTAAAAGAATGAGGCAACACTTTATTATGTAGGGATATTTCAGGAAATTACCTTATTAGTGTCTGTGAAACAATTTAAGACACTTGGATGAATGGTACTTTAGAAATACCAGAAGTGCTATTAAAAACTGTTAATACTATAGATCAATCCATGTTCTTAAATACTGGCAGCATTGATGTTACACAAAGTGCTTTGACATCTCATTTAGTAAACACTCAATATCTCTCTGCCCGACCAAGTCCTTCACCTGAAATATGTACCTTGAGAAATATCCTCTACTGCTCTCCGAATACCTCTATCAAATGCTCTTGCATCAGCAGGACTCTGAAATGTGAGGCCAAACTTTTTGTCATCAATCTTCCAGTGGTAAAAAGTAGGAGTAACTTTGTTGTAAACGAGGTCTTTCTTTAGTGTGCATTCCAAGACCACCTTCCAAAAAGAAAAGAGAAAGAAAAGATATCAGTGACCAATACACATGAGAACAAAAGGCAGTCATACATCATAAGAGCAGATAGAAATCTCTCTTTAAATTTCTTCCTGTTACAAGGATGTAATTTTAACCTAATTTCCTTAATGGACAAATTATTCAATATCAGTTGCTGATAAGGTGGTAAGGATTAAGAACAGTATTTGTATACTAAGTCAATCTTTCCATTTGAAAATCTCACAAATAAAGTATCTCATACCTGCAGCAAGCACTTCTGTCAGAAACAAGTTGGTAGATATTCAGCAAATTAAATAGGACACATCCCCTAAAAAAACATTACTGTGCTGATATCAAATTTTACTGTATCACTGGGAATTTTATTTATATACTTATTCCATAAAATTTTTCTAACTTCATGCTGCTTTCAAATCACATCAGATTTCTCCTAGAAAGGCTACTAGACAAGTGAAAATAAAACAATTGTTTTTTAAGAACTGTAACTAATAAAAGCTAAAATTTTCATCACTGTATTACTGCCTGAACCTAGACAAAAATACATTTATGGCTCATGTTCTACTATAACAAAACCAGTAACTACAAATAATGAACAGATTTGTCTACAAAATCATTAAAGATATACATGCACATTCAGTTATGAAACAAAGTCACAGTCTTCACATAGAATCACAGAGTGGTTTGGGTTGGCAGGTACCTCAAATATCACTTAGTTCCAACTTCTCTGGACAACCTGTTCCAGTGCCTCACCACCCTCACAGTAAAGAATTTTTTCCTAATATCTAATCTAAATCTACCCTCTTTCAATTTGAAGCCATTCCCCCATGTCGACGCTCTTGTAAATAGTCCGTCTCCATCTTCCTTGTAGTCTCCCTTTGTGTACCAGAAGGTCTCATCATTTCCCCACTTTAAATAGTCTGGTTTTAAAAATATATTTGCATATTTCCTTTACTGGCTAAAATTATTTTAAGCACCATTGTTACACTTTTGAGTTTTTCTTGGTTTTAAAAAAACAAATGTGAACAATAAAGCATGGACGGAGACACAATGATCTGCTCCTGTAGCACTAGGTATAATAAAGCTCACAGAAGAATAACTTATCTCTGTATTACTGTTTGATGCTGAAAACCTACACTGACAGATTAATGAGAAATTTTAGTATTCTATCATTTTAACATTAAAGCATTTTCAGAACTTTAATGTTTAGTTTTGTTACATATGCAGCTTTTTTGAGAAAAAATACAAAATTCCTCACAGGATGTGGTAAAATTAGTTTAATTATAGATCTAACTGAGAAAAAAATCCTCAAATTTTAAAAAACTATGTCTGTACTTAGGTTATTCTTACATATTCCTTGTGTTCCTCCTCTCCTTCATATTTAATTATTATATAGACAAATAGGGGTTTTCTTTTGCTCTTTATTATTTATTCTCCCTAGACCACACCAGTAATCATTGATTGTTACTGACTTTTACCTGTCTCTAGAAGGATGACAGTCTTTCTGCACGTATAGACTCTTTCAGCATTAAAATAATTTTTGTTATGCCACTTGAATTCCCTAAATGGTCAACAATATGTAGGTAAAACTGTCTACGAGAGAACATAAAAAGGAATCTAACTATTTGCTGTAGGCGTGCAGGAAAAGGTGCTGCAGAAAGAGAAATGTCATGCTGCAGTTCTAAGGTGTGTTAAACGTTTGTTCTTTGTTCCTTCAGATGATCTTAAACTTGCTACTTCCTTAAAGGAGGAGTTAAAAATGAAGATTGCTCGTTTCAGTGCCTTTTTTAGGTCTGTGAGCTCTTTTGTGGGATCTCTAATACATTAACACCAACTACTTTCATGCTGTATTTTGTGTGCACTTTCATCCAAAACATCAATAAAAAGTACTGCAAGCCTGATTTTACAGCACCTCAATGAACATCTGGCCCCAAAGGAATTAATGCAGATTACTTTATCCTGAAAATTCATAGCTGGTGACAATTTTAGCACTGGAGACAAATATTTTACTGAGTAGAAGCTATGATTTCCAAAGATAGCCACACCAAACCAGAAAACCCCCAGATGGACTCCCTTCAACCCAAAAAGCAACACGGTATCACACACACCCCATATCCAGCCACCCCACCATTTTATATAACAAGATATCATTAACAAAACAAGTAAACATTCTATCCAACATTAATTGTTTTCAACTTAAGGAAATAACGAATTTGATGGGATGACACTGATTTTTCACATCTAAAGCTGCATCAAGTTAACACAGTAGATATAAGTGAAAGGGCACTGAAAAACAAAAAATTTGTTGCACCAAAATTGTAATGGACATATAACTGACAAAAAAATTGACATGTTATCAGATATAAGAATCCATATAGGCAAGACTTCACACCTGCCCCACCTGAGAGAAAACTCAAAAACTGTAGGTCAAACAGCAAGGTGATCTAAGCCCATCAAAATCAATCTTTTCTCAAACTTTAAATCCAATTTAAAAAGTAAACAATTTAAAAAGTAAACAATTTAAAAAGTAAGTTTTTAAAAAGTAAGTTTTTAAACAGCAGATTTTTAGAAGACAATGGTATTTATATTTAGCTTTAGCTTTGTATCTCTCCCTTTACACAATTACCTGTTCTTCAAAGGAAAGATTTTAAACTTTGTCACTCCTGACTCATGATCCAAAAGATACTAATGCCTTTTTTTTTTTTTTTTTTCCTCCTTTAGTAAAAACTTGCATGGCAAAAGACTGGAATAGAAAATAAAACGGAAGTCTACTAGACTTTTCATTCAAGAATGTAAAATTCACCAAAGGCTAAAAACCTGTAAGTTTGAGCCCAAAGTATGTTTAACACTAGTGCTATTAGGATAGAAGAGAGCCACTGTAAACACAGTAAGTGAGAGCAGCAGACCTGACGAGGTTGGGATGGAGCACAATTATTCCAAGCAGACTGGCTGGAACCAGATCTAGGAAGGTGAGTATAATAAAGGAGGAAATGTGTAATTATGTAAAAAGTCTTCACGAAATACCCTTAACATTCCAACATAGATCTAAACAACCTGATCAAACCAGCAGAGAACATTCTTTCGCATAAATTAATGCAATGGTGCCACCACTTTGATTTTCTTCCCAGATAACTAGGATGCTTTTTGTGAATGCCACACGATGTTTTAAATAGCTCTGTACCGCACAAAAATTTTGGACGTTCTACGTGTAGTCTGAAGCTCATTCATAGAAGGGCTCATAGCAACCTAACTTTCAGGTATACAAAGAAATTAAGAGAACTCTCTCCAACAAGGAACTTCAATATTTTGAAGTTTGATCCTGAAGTATTTAATTTATACAGCTGACTTACAGCTGAGATCTACAGTCCTAATTAAATGCCTACACAGTCTGTAAAATACATGGAAATATCTGGCACACTGGAATGGAACTGCAGTGCAGTGTCAAAAGCCGCACTTGAGAGAAGCAGGAACTAAAGCTAGTTCATTCCTTTTCAGCATAAACATTCAAAAGGTATCTGGAAAATACCTCCATCAAATAACTCACCTGTGGATTTCAAGTCGCTTTGGAATGAATTTCACCTTTCTACTGACACTTAGGTTAAACAGTTATACTCACATTATGATCCCCATGTATCTTAGGTAAAAGCCCAAATTCCATTTGCTCTCTAACCCCAGGTATTTCAGAAACTATGCTTCCCTGTGCCCCAGAAAAGTGCTCCAAGTTCCACACTCTAGGTTTTCAAAAGTTCACAAAAGAAAAGACTTACCAGTCAGAGGAAATCAAAATATAATCTAGTTTTGAAGATATTTTAACAATGTAAAATGTGACTTGAGGAGAGAGGGGGAACTTCATTTGTAAAGATGACTTTCTTTTATAATCCACAGAAATATTTTCAGAAACAGCTGTATGTACCTTTCAAAGAAGTGAGTGAACTGAAAACCACGGTCCAGGTGACTAAGCTCTAATGATTTCTAGTTATTACAATAGACTAAACATTCCTGAATGTTTAAGTGTTCTAACTCTGAATAACTGATGTATTCAAAATGGTTTAGGAGGTTTTTATAAAAAAATATATTGTTACTTTCTCTTTCCAAATACAACAGCAGAGCAACCAACTAAACAACATACAAATAACTTCAAAGATTATTCAGTCATACAGGTTTACCAAGGGCATTCTAAAATGAGATTAGAGTGATACTGGAGCACAGAAACAGCAGATTCAGTATAATACTTCCTCAAAATCTCAATATGATCACAATATTTGGTCTCTAATCCATAGCAAATACAATAACAACTTTATTTTCAATTAAAAAATATACTTTATCACTACTATGAAATATAATAGCCAACTGTCAGTTCTATTTGGACTAAAAATTCAATTGTTTGGCTTTATTAAGGAAAAGGTTAAAAAATGTGCTTTTACAGTGACTCCACAGGAATATCCTAAGAACAAATGTAAAATCATTAACTATATTGAAAGCATAATGATCAGTACAGTTCTAGAATCAGTGACTGGATCCCTGTCCAACAGAATTTGTCTTTCAGTCCCTGCTACCTATTGCCCTTCCGAATAAGCCTCATGACCTAACGATGTCCTTCCTTATCTTGGTGTAGGATCTTGCTTCTTTTATGTCAAGAGAGGTCTTGTTGCATAACATACAACTTTGTTGTTAATTCATTACACATTAGCTGTTGCTTATAAGCACATTATCTGATGTCTGTGGAAATGTGCATACACAGCGTCCTTTTACTCAGTTATTAAAGAACCTCTGGCTCTCCAATATTCTTCCCGACACCCTAAATCTGTATTTGTTAGTTCCCTGAGCTCTTCATTCACTATACACTGGAGAGATGTTCTTCCTAGCTTCATTTCTTTTATCTTCTATCCTGTGTTTTTGAGGGGCTGACTTCCAACAGCAACTTCCTGAAACTGCTGCAAGATCACAGTCTGCCCTGACAGACTAGTAGAGGTCACATTTGGGGGCAAGCAGGGGGAGGACAGATGGACACAGGATGGGACACACAAAAAAATCCCAAACCGAAACAAACTGTTCAAGACAATAAAGTTTTGGAAAATGTATTCACGCTAACATGAACTTGATTTTGGACAGGAAGAGGAGCAGCAACATTTAAAACCTTCTACCAGAAGTGGAAACAAAACAAGGCTTGCTCAGGGGAAACAGGAGAGTGCAAGCAGATCAGGACACTGATGTCTTGACATTTTCATATGCATGCAGGCGAAACATTAAACTAGCCTTCAGTTCCAAGCATTTTATTACCCTCACATTCTTAAGGCAAGCTGCAAAGGTTCCAAGTATTAAGAATTACAAGAAAATTATCAAGTATCTCTAAATGTAATTAGCTTCTCAAAAAAACAGCCTTAATAAGGCTAAAAAAAAAGTTCTAAGGGGAACTACTGCAAAGTGAGGAAGGAACTGCAGGTGCACATAGCTGTGCAGGAACACAGGGTACTCTGGTAATAGCACTACGCCTCGCTGAAACAACTGAGTCAGCAGAATTTCTATTTATATGCTCTCTTCCTACAATAGTCACAGTCAAGGCAGGAAACTCAGCAAGGGAGTTTCTGCCTCAAGGGAGAAACTGCTGTGCTTGAGAAAGGAGTAGTGTGGTATAAGGTAGTTCTACCTTTTAAGCTAATACTGGAGTCAAAATCCACTGGCAGAAAAGAATTAGTTCTTGATAAAAGTCATTAAGATGGAGCTTTTGTGCCTTCTCTACATCTCTTTGTTTCTACAATAAGACACAGCCTCATTCAGAAACCTATTTGGTACACAAGTAACCAATCAATTCTTAGTAAGCACATTTTGTCTTCCACAGGTCTTCATGTGGAAATGGCTGAGATCCTACACCAGTTTTCCTTTTGTGAGGCTGATTTTCATGATGCTATTTAACACACGTTTATTAGTGGGATTTTATTTTAGGTAGCTGAGGAATGAATACTGCCTGTGTGTTCACCAAACTAGAGCAATTTTTGGACTTGTTTGCTTAAGCTCTCTTCCAATACAAAGTTGTTCTCATGTCAAATGGCTACTTTCTGTCATAGCCAAATTCCACAACTAGCCAAATCATTACCAAGGAATTCCTTCTGATTTCACATTCTTAACAAATTATCTCATTTTCAACACTCATATTAAATGTAGTATCAGTGGTACATAAACAAGATAACAAGATTTAAACCTCCACCAGGAAAAAAAAAAAGGAATATGTTTCCCCAAATGAATGGAAATCTGCAATGAAAAAAAAAAAAAGTAAAGTTCCTAAAAGATGAATGTGCATAATTTTAAAAAAACAAGGTATTACATCTAAAACAAACAATTGGATCTTTAGGTATATAAACAGTGACACAAAAAAGCTCAGCAACGGCATTAGTCTGAGAATATAAATTTACTTTCTAGTCTACAGGCAACAATAAGCAGGCATCTATACTTATGTCCTATGTAGTTTTAATATCACAGAATCACACAATCCGCTGAGTTGGAAGGGACCATGTCCAACCCTTAGCCATCCGTAAGAGTAATACCATGTGCCTGAGAGTATCATCCAAATGCTTCTCGAACTCTGTCAGGCTTGGTGCTGTGACTGCTTCCCTGGGGAGCCTGTTCCAGTGCCCAACCACCTTCTTGGGTGAAGAACCTTTTTCTAATATCCACCCAAAACCTCCCCTGACAACTATGATCATTAAATGGAGGTAAATTGTTACCGTTTTATCCCTGAGTCGTTCTCCATGGATAAGAAAATCAGCACAGCTATTCTCTTCCTGGGGAATGACTTTGAAGACTGTGACACAGCTTAGTCCACCCCCTCCAAGTGGTAACCATCCACCACTTGAGTCATCCCGGGTCATCACCACAGCTCGCACTCGTGCATAACTATTACTGAAAGAGATGCAAAAGAAGAAATTAGTTTTTCAAAATCAGAAATCAGCGGTTTAGTTAAAAACAAAACAACAAACCCATAACGAAGGTCACAATAATTAACACTGTCTTTCCACAACTGTCATCCTAGAACAAACCCATAGACCACACTTTAAAAAATGTTCCTCTGTACTTTTATGACTCCATCAGAACTTTCTGGAGCTTACATGTGATTTCTTGTAAAGAAACTTAATCAGAGAATATAGTTCCCAAGTCAAAACTGATATTTTCCTAAAAACTTTAGTCAGTAATCTAGCTAGAGGGTCAGGAAGAGAGTAAGAATCAACGTCCGATTTATTTTAGACTAATCATGAAGCCAGTCAGTCACTACGAAATTGCACAAAAAAAGAGAACAAGAAAGCAGAAAGAGGTCAGGCCTTCTGTCACTGAAATCTAAACAAGAACAGGCTTCTAGCCAGAAAACCCTGCTTCCCTTTGTCCATCCCTCCTCCCCACACATATAACCTGTCCTTTGCAAGGGTAGGTCAGGACACACTGTGGGGTTCAACAACAGAACCAATTACAGTTACTTAAAATCATTATTTGCAGTATCTACTAGCTGATTCTCTCCTGTAGTGAAAGCATTTTACAACTGAACAGCTTTTTTCCATCATTTAGCATTTTTATAAAATACACAAATGATTATCATGTCATTACTTAGGAGCCAAATTGCTTTTTCAGAAAGGAAAAAGAGGTTTTGGTGATCTCTCTCTCTCATTTTATTCCTTCCTTTTAAATTAAATGACAATTTTAACTTTGGTTATGAATTTGCCAGTATATCAGTTGGAAAACCCCATGGCTTGCCAAGATGTTGTAAGATCCTATATTCAAAGCAATGGTTTACTGCATGAATGTAACAGTCGATGAATGAACATTCAATCACCTTAAAATAAATATGATTCATGTTATCTTTTGCAACATATTCTAGATTGAGGGTTTAAGTACTTATGCCAGTTGGCATTAGTGATGTCAAATTTAGGGGCTGAAAAGAAAATATTAGAAGAAGAAAAAGTTGTTCCTTTTGCACAAAATTACTTGTGATAAAACCATTCACCAAGCTGCTGTACTTTTAAAAGATCACTGCTTTACTTTTTTCCCCAAACTATACTAAAATAACCAAGGTAGGCTTTTTTGTGCAATTAATAGATTACATTCTCACACACACATATGATTCACACGTATGATTCACTTGTGTGTATATATATATATATATATGAAAGAATTTTGCTGCAAGCATCTAAAGCTTAGATACATAATGGTTTGCAAAACAGAAAATAAAACAAGACTATAAATCTATGTTTACAGGCAGCTGAATTTGTTAATAGGTTTTGTTTGCCCTCTCCAAGCAAATCCCAGCCCCCTCCTCTCTCTAAAAATCATAGTTAAAATGACAGTTCAGTCAATGTTTCTCACCATTTCTGTACCAATTTACTTCAGTAAGTACTCAAACACAGCAAATATAATGAAGAAAAATCCAATCCTTCTTCATATGCATCTATCACAATTCTAATATCTGCAAACAAAAATGTCTTTATCTTGATGCTTAATACTATTACTGAAAGTTGAATCATTCATTCATTGGTCTCTATCACCCTATTCATTATGATACAAGTTCAAATTGTAGTTGTACACTTCAGAAACAGGTAGTCTTTCATCTCATTTCTCTCAGAAGAGCCTCTTCTGACAGAAACTGAGGACATTGGGACTTTCCTCTGAAACAGTACACAGAATGCATCAATTGATTAAGTCTACACACTGTCTATGCTATTGTCCATTCAAGTGAAACACAAATTTAGCTCTGAAGTTATTAATTCTATAAACTGTATATCAGACTTTTTTTTTCTTTTGTAGATCAATAGACTGCAGCAAGAGTTCAACAGGTAACATTTAATGAATAACCTCTTAAACTGAGGGAGTTTTTCCATACAACCTCCCTGTAAATTAAATAGACAAATTCATTACTGTACTTGCAACAATGCCAAAGATTACAAAGATTTTTTAGTTTTTTGTTTCTGTTGGTGACTGTTTTTTAAATTATTTTTTATATTTGAATGGAACTCACAATTGTTAACAAATGCTATTTTTAGTGACAATACAAGTTAGTTTGCAATTAGCCACGATGCAGTGGCAGTATTTATAAATGACTTCCCTTTCCAAAATCCTCTGTAAACAAAACAGCATCTGTCCGTCTCACTCCTGGTGTTACCAAAAGCACTCAGATGTCTTCTATCTGTAGGTATTATAACCCCACCTACTCCTGGGAACTTCAGAACAAATTCCTAAACTGGCCTAGCTTAGCAGTGGGAAAAAAGGGCAGACAAGGCTCCAGTGTTTTCCTAACACAGCCTAACCTTTTTACCTACTCTTGCATGTTCAGCAGCTCTATCAGGAATACCTGAACAAAAGAAAAAACAAACGAACAGGGTAATCAGTTGAGCATTGCTCTTCTGAAGCCTTTTACCAGAGCTACCATGAGCATGTGAAATGGAGCATGAAGAGCAGCACTGCAACAGCAGGCCCAAACCTACTGTACTGCAGCCAACTTTTCCTGAGACTCCCTGATTTTTGTTGTGGCCACTTGCTCTTGAGGCAGAGCAAGGTTTACATGAAATAGCATTCTGGCTATAGCAGCATACTGCTTCCCAAAAGTCAGTGCTGAGCACCAGTGAAGAGTGGGGACAAAAATATTGTCCAAGATCTGTTTCTAACAACTAATGAAACAGATTTTTCTCTCTATTGTCCAAATGCCTCAGGTAAGGAGGTAAGAGTACAATATTCTTCTGTGGTTACAGGAAGTTATAAATTGAGATAAAGGAGAAAAAGAAAAAAAAGAAAAGGTTATCTACAGTGTTTTTCCCCCTAGTAAAGGCTTACTGGAGAGTACAGCATAAGTTTGAATACTAAACCTATTAAAACTGAAATAAGGTAATTTGAAGATAGCATAGACATAGATATAGTGTGAAGTTTCACTCTAAAAATATTACAAATGAAAATGATTCTTGTACCAAAATCAAAAGCTGCAGTGGTGTGAACCAAGCAGCCTGAGAAAGCATTGGTGCAAAAACCAAAGGGTTACAAACCATAAGTCGATAGGAAAGAGAGACTTAGAGTCCTTGCCTGCCATCAGCCTTATTTTAAGAGCATTAAAATCTGACAGCAGGTTTTAAAGTCTCTCTTCCCCTCCACTAAATGCTGTGTGTTTATGTCGTTGTAATGCTCTTGGACCCAAATTGACTTATGACCTGGATGACCAAACTGCTGTTCAAGCCCAGGAAGTATGTCACTGGCCAAGACAGGCTGGGACCTGCAGCTCAGCAGCTAAGGAACAATCCTGCTTTCAGTGTATGGGGGAGGAACACAACTGTATTTTCATCAGTGGTTGTTTATTTTTTTAAATAATTTATTTTGATAATTATTATTTCTTATGTTTACTAACAAGCTAATAAAAGATACTAAATGTTATTACATTTGTCCTTTCTTCCACTAGCCAATGAAAAGAGAATGAAGGTTAAGAATTTTCTGCCAAAATACTTTTCCCCAGAGAAAAGGGGAAGAAATATTTGAGGGGGGAAAAAAAGCAAAAAAGCAGCCATCTTGTTGCTTTACATTTATTTTAACCTAGTTTCAACAGTACCCAAATATTCCCTCTCCTGATTCATACTAAACATCACTATTCCTTTATTTGTATTGCATCTTGCAGATTTCAATTTTAATATAGGACTGAAAAATAATAACAGTGATTTCAAAAATGTTTGTTAAAACAATTGTACTATAGTTGCAAATTGGTTTTTTTAGTACTATAAAGCTCCTACCATTACCATCAAGAAACCTGGATATGCAAGTGGAATTTAAACTGAACCACAGGAGAAAATGACCCTCTTAGATTTGGTAAAAATATTTAGAATTATGGTTTCTTTCAAAGCTGGAAAGCAGATTTGCAGTAAAGGATCTCCAAGCTGAATGTAAGTCAAAAACATTCCCCGGGGACAAAGGAGGCCAACGATATCCCAGCTGCATTAGAAGTGTTGCCAGCAGGCCTCAGGAGGTGATCCTGCCCCTCTTCTCAGCGCTAGCGAGGCCAGATTTGGAGAGCTGTGTCCAGTGTTGGGCTCCCAAATCCATGAAAAACATGGAGCTCCTGGAGTGGGTCCAGCAGAGTGCAATAAAAATGATTAAGGGACTGAAGCGCCTGTCATATGAGGGAAGGCTGAAGGAGCTGGACCTGCTCAGCCTTGAGAAGAGAAGACTCGTGGGTATCTTATCAATGTATACAAACACCTGAGGGGAGGGCACAAAGAGGATGGAGATGGGCTCCTTTCAGAGGTGCCCAGTCAGAGGACCAGAGGACACGAGCACAAACTGAAACACAGGAGGTTCCATTTGAAGATCAGCAACTACTTTTTCACTGTGAGGATGCCTGAGTGCTGGCACAGGTTGTCCAGAGAAGTTGTAGTATCTCCATACTTGGAGAGTTTCAAAGATATTTGGACACAGTCCTTGAGCAGCAGGGGTGGACAAGATGAACTCCAGAGGTGCCTTCCAATCTCTTTTTTTTTTTAAATTTAATATCATATTTCAAAGCACAGCAATTTCAATAAAATATCATTTCATAAATATAACCAATACAGGTTTATTTATGAGAATTCATGATACTTCAAAGCAAGAGTTGTTAATGTGCACAACTGCTATTTAAACACTTCTGACAAGGGGGAAAAAACAGGTGTTCTGAAAAATCGTGACACACTGCTATGAGATTACACTATCTTTGCTGGCATGCAAGTAACAGCTCCAGGTTGATCTGCAAATGTGAAATGGTCATGGATCAAGGTTCTTTACCTTTGACTGGCACTTTACACACGTACTTTAACCCCTCCAACTTCTGGTGCAATATACTTCTGTGTTTGTGGCCTTACTCAAAGAGCATACATGAATCACACTTGGCTTTTTATGGTCCTTATTATCCAAAAAGCTTAGCAGAAGGTTTTATGATTTTCAGCTAGAAAAGTGCTCATGAGTACCCAATATCAGACCATTGAGATAAGTCTGTTTTACTTGCACATAGCCTTTTTTGAGTATTGACTCAATTTAGAAAAAAAAATAACGTTACTAGTATCACATAAGTGTATCAGTACACTGATGATGTTATAAACCCCTTGTTACTAAAGACTTAGAGGATGAGTGTCACCAGCACAAAACATTAATGACTTGGCGAAAACAGAAAGAGACGCAAATATAACGTGAGTACTAAAGAAGACATATTTTACATCAAGAAAACATATGACAGTACATATTTTTTAACAGAGGAAATTGCTATAATTGCAGCTACATGAGGCTCTGCCTAATATGACTATTACCTTTCTCCTCTCAAAGTCATACCAGCAAATCAAAGTATAAACCAAACTCTTACACTGGTAGAACCCAAAACTTGGCAGATTTTCTCCTTTAAAAAGAGGCAAAAGGGATTCTTCAGAGTAAACAGTAACCATACATGGCTACTACGTCTAGGAAGTTTATTTATGTGGGGAGTCTAGTAAGCAAAGACATGCATTTCCATGAAGAATTACATACAAGTGCTGTTACATTTAGGATATTGGTACCTACATTGATTTACTGAAGTGCTTTGGATTTTGTCAAAATGCCTGAATGAAACATTCCTGCTCAAACAAAAAAAAACACAAAACAAACAAACAAACAAACAAAAAAAAAAAAAACACAAAACAACAAAAAAATCTTACAGAAACCTGAATCACCAAGTAAAATGGCTTGAAACCAAAATCGTAGAAGGGAAAAGCTTCATGGGAAACTGTATTACATATGGAGGGGATAACTGGTATCCTGAAAGAGCCCAAAGTACATGACTGCAATTATTATTTAGCAGAAGAGGCTTATCAAATAAGAGATTTGACAGTGCACCTGCAATTCAAAAGGGAAAATGAGATACAAATGAACAAGTGTCCAGAAAGGGAAAGTGTCAAAACAGTATATTGCTCTCGTGAAGTATTCTCTTGGACACAATATCAGAATAAATTAAAAAGAAGGAATGGATTTCTAATGCTCCTATTTTAATATAGACAATTTAAGATTTGTGGTCATGTAAAGTAATCAATACTGCAAGGAAGAATGGCTACTGCTGTAAGCACTTTTTGCACATGAAGAATGAAGAGGCTGTTAATGAGAACCATCAAAATTACATACAAAGTAGGTATTTGACATTTCTGTGAACAACATTTTAGCTCTGCTGCCCAGCATCTTCTGTTGTTTAATAACTGTAGTGAGCTTCTATTGGTTCTGTATGTTATCCATGAGGGCATGTTAAATGAAGTAATATTTTAGCAGACTAAAGATCACAATGCATATTTGGACTCCATCTCTTTTAAAGAAATTGCAGTTATCCTAATAGAATGGATTCTGTAACACCATCTGGTCAAGGCATATTACTTGGAAAATGGCATCTGATATAAAATACAAAATCAAATAAAAACCCCAAACAAACTTATTTTTCTTTCTACCCTTCCCGACAGAAGTTAAAAGAATCATAGTAACATTTAAAGATTGGTCTACAGGTTTTGGACATGTATAGCAGAACTACATAAACAGCATTCTTCCCACAGCTGCTTGCTTAACAACAGAGGACTACTGATACGAAGGACTCCTGGATTAAATTCCATCCAATTTAGGTAGATAGGATAACATAATTTGAGTGGTCAGATCCTGGTACTCATGTGCCACACAAGTTTAATGGGCTTCCTCCAGAAAACCCTGGTTTTGTCTCATTTTTAAAAGCTGATAGCCATAACTTTCTTACCAAGGTCTTGGGTACTGATGCCATGTATTAATTTTGATTTGCTTACCATGGAAACATATAGATAAAGATGAAAGAGCTCACAAATAAAAACAAGAGATAGAGGTTAAAAGGCTTAGGATTTTTTTTTAGATAAGTTAACATTTCTTTCCAACCTTCAAAAACAAAGGAATGTCTAAAGAATCCATGGAAGATGAGCTTTTCATTTTCTCCAGCTCTTCAGCGAACTCAAGACAAGAACAAGGCTGCAGCCTAAGGCAGATTCCACTGAAACTAAGACAACTTGACACTTGCAGTAAATGTCGTCAGACAACGTCCATCCAGCTTAGAAAGAATTTTTTTTTAAAATGAAGCTTACAGATTCAATTGTGCTTTTTATTTTCCTGGGAACAGCAATGATTACTACAGTTTAGGATAACATAAATTATGGAAAGTTTTTCAGGTAGTAGTTGTATCTGAACAGGTCAGAATTCTCTCTTCTCTCAGAGGGATTTTCCTCCAGCCTTACGTGCTCACAAAGTCAAAGTACCAACTATGCAAGTACAATTAGATTACCCTCATAGCTAAAGCTATTGGTCCTCTAGTTACTGAGATTACAGATGGCAGCACTGGAGATCCCGTTAACAGGAGATACGAACACATTAATCAACAAGTCATTTTGTAATAAAGTTCTTGACTGCTAAGATAAGATGAAGGTAACTAACACCTTCCTTAGCTACCCTAAAGTATGACAGGTTGTACTAAATATCTTATTTTCAAACAAGCATCTGTATACTTTTTATTTCACTGCTTGTTGTATTTAGGAATTGTACCTCACAAATGTCCAGAAAAATATTATTTTCCTCCTAACATGTCCTTTATTCAGCAAAATAAAGGACGAACCTGTTACACTTTTTCTAACACACCAGAAAACACTGTCACGGATTTTTTTATTTACTATGTCTGAATTTGTCAGTTTACCCTGGACTATACACTCTTTGGAACAGGGACCATCTCTAACGAGTGTAATTCAATAAAGACACAAGTGTAAGTTGGTGTACAGAGCTTAGGTGGTAACTGCTACATACTCTTGATATTTTGGCAATACATTATGGAAGAAAAAAATCACCAGGCCCATTGACCTTACTCACCTAAAACAACACTTGATATCAGGCAGAAAAGCACAAAATTTAAATTTATTCTTAGCATATTAAAAGAAATTTATGAAAGGTCCAGATCATTCCTGGCATGAATTTCTCACTCAGCCTGCACAGAAAAGGAACAGAATCTTGAACCAAATAAAGCATATCCACACTTATAAAAATAATCTTCCTTTAACAGCCTTTCTGAGCTGTGAGATTGCTAATGAATGTTGTATACAAACAACATTCATGTATTTTAAAACTATGTGAATTGAAACTGTAGCATCATTCATTGATATTGTTAAATCTAAAGCTTGTCTCAACAGTTACACTGACCTGGTTTTTTAAGGACTTTAATCAGTCAATATGAAAGCATTTGAAAGTAAATTACATTTTAAGAAAATCCCTAGAGCTAAATTCCCCCTTTTAACGCAGTAAGAAAACAGTAAACATTCAAAAGGACGTTTTGAGTGCACAAACAGACGAATTGTGTCTGCACTAACAAAACAGAAAGACTACAAGCGAAACTGCAAAATCCTTAACAAATAACACCAGAGTAAAAAAGGAAGTCTGAACGAGCCTTAAGAAAAATAAGCTCATAAACCTACAGGTCTATTTTAAAGGTGTATGTTCACTGACCAAAAGGAAGCTACTATTCCCTTGCTATGCAGCACCACACTTTGTGGTTTGAGTCAGTCTTTTTTGTAGCTTTAACAAAGCATGAATATTCGGGAGAGAGGAAATAAACTGAAACAGAAAAGTCAAAAACAAATGCAAAGATTTCTATTACAATAATCCATCAAACGAGAAGAAACAAAATATTATTAAGATTACACAAAATGTTCTGATGGTAGGCTGTTCCTATTTGCCATATGTCAGAATGAATAATGTGACTTATATAGCCAACATATAATTGTATGATCTATGTTTGATAATCTCAGTAATAATTAGCAGCCTAACCAGCACTCTTAAGCAAAGAAACAGGTGATTCACAAGGCCTAAGGTCAGAACATATGGATACTAATAGTGCATTAAAAAATGGTAGAGCTAAGCCTTTGTTTACTACATTCTCCACTGCAACTACTACTGTAATACTTTTTACAAGTTTCTGCGAAAAACTGCAAATAATTAATATGTGGGTCATGCATGAACATAACACAGAGCAAACTTGCACACTAAAAGGCCTCTCAGTTCAAAATGAGGATTATTTAAGTTCTATTATTTGCTGCTATTCCAGAAGAGAAGTTTAGAAAATTGTAACCAACTGCAAAGAAAAAGAACAAAAGATAGACATGCATTCCCCCTCCCCATCAAATATGTAATAGACCAAAATAAGAACATATTCACACTTTATAAATAATAGCTAGTCATGAAAACTCCTACAATATATGTATCTGAATCTCTCACTCTACTCAGCAACTGACAAGGGGTCCACCAGATACAGCTTCCTAGTTTTTGCAACAACACAACCTTAAGCAAATGGTTACAACATGGAGATAATGAGATAATTTAGTCTTATAACTCTGTGTTGTTGTTTCCTGCTTGGACTTTTAAAACCATTAATACTAC